GGGCTACGGGTCTAAGTTTTAAATATGTCGCAGTGAGAGGAGCACGCTTCAATTTCCAAAGAATCTCTATTGATTCGCTTTTGGGCGAGACGTCAAGTCTTCGGTGAACTAACTTACTAATGGGTTGAGATAAATACGACTATAAGCAAATCCGCGATTTCATATTAATAGCCAGTTTTAGCCTTTTGTTTCTTTAAAATTATTTTACAGAAAATCAAAATTAGATTTGAATTTGTGTTATCATTTACACTAGATTTCCAATTACAGTCCGTCGTGGTGCGAGGAATGTATAATTATGTTAAAAGCGATTGACAGAAATAAGACGATTCTTGAAACATATTTTGGCGCTCGACTTTGGAGAAGATATTAACGCCAACTATCAAGTTACTAATGGGTTTTTAGTCTTGAATCAGTAGACCGTGCCTTCTCTATAAAGAACCCACAAGCACCAGTTATTTCTTGCATTTTAAAGCAGATAATTCAAAATTTCTCTAAATTTTACTTAACCAAACCAATTATAAGGAATTTACAGTGCAGTTTAAATCTTCGGCGCTCGTTATTTCGTTTTAAAATTATGGCGTTGTGTAAGGTTGAAGTTTTCACCAGTTGACACTTTGAACAAGGGAACTCTCCAAACGTTATCTTTGGCGAAGATTTTAGTTCCGAATATCAACTTACAAAGTTGCTAACGAGTAAACTATTTGTTAACCATTGTGTCTGCTGCTTCAATGACATCATTAGTTCATGGTACTACGATGACGTCATGCACCCACTTTACACGTTAACTTGTCTTATATGGAAAGATACAACAGACTGTCCACTAGTCTTCTCTCGACGACCTCCAATTCATCAGGATAGCGATCAAAAATCCTTGTCAGTTTGTCTCCCTCAGCACACAGGTAATCTTGATCATGCAAATAATTTGTCTCCACAAAATTAGCTTTTTTAAAACATTTTTTTAAAAAACTGAAGTCGTATTTTAATAGTTATTTGTTAGGTTGGCTTTGGAAACTATTCCGTGGGCTGAGCACGTCAGTTAAAGGATTTTGATTACGTCTTTAACTTAACAACCAAATACTTAGTTAATGTTTTCAGTCTGGGACCAATTTTTGTACATTCATTTCCATTTGTTTTTGCAATTTATTTTTTATTCATTATTATTTTTTTTTTTTCCATACATTCTAGGTTAAAATTGACTTTGGCATTGTTCTTCTGATCGATGGGTTACCCAACCATTCCAGTTATTAATTTAAAAACGTGAAGAAATTGTTTGTAGCGTAGACCACAATAATGAACTACTGAATTCGTCAAATTTTGTGGTCAAAAAATAGTTCAAGGAAATTATCGATCGAATTGTAAGATACCAAATGAATCATATGGTGATGGCTTGAACGTAAGGGTCAGTGAAGTTCTCTATTCCGATATTAATATAGTGCTTCTACAAAATAGACATTGTGTTTCGCAAGTACTTAGTGTCAAGTATCA